CAGCAGGAAAAAAAATGGTTTCTGGGTTGATTAATGCAAACCCAGTCGTTTATGAGAAGAAAGAGAGGCGTGTCCGAAGTTGCCCGAGCAGTACGGATGAACATATAGACCAGCTCGAGGTATCTGATATCCTTCGGGTATGATGTTTCAACTGTTTCTTGGAATTCTTGGTACTCTGTTTCCATTACAGTTGTCCTCCATTCTCCAATTCTTGCTGGCTTCCAACATTCAATGCCTTTGTTTGAACAGTACACTGCATTTATTTTAAGGTTTTAGATGAAGAATACGCATCTGTTTCGAAGCTAAGAACCTCGATGTTTAGTGTATCTGTGTGAATTTCGTATAGATTTACATTTTTTTTCCTTAGAGTATGATACAGAAGGTTGAATCAGCTGTCAGTTTGTGGGTGTTGTATTTGTTATTTTTGGCCCTTAACGTTCACAAACCATATTAGAGATATTAAAGATCCAGAGCATCCCTATTATTATCTGGAGGAGCTCAAAGTAGTAACAGAAGATTCAGTTGAAGGAGATGATGGGAAGAGTTATGTTAGGTAAGAGAGTGGAATTGATTTTTTTTGTGTTTTGTTTTCTTTCATGCTTGCCATATCTGCTAAGTTCTGCCATTTCCTTTTTCAGGGTTACATTCACACCAACCGTTGAACATTGTATCATGGCAACTGTTATCGGTCTTTGCCTTCGTGTCAAACTACTACAGAGGCTTCCTCCTCGTTGCAAGGTTTTAGCTTTCCCCCTCTTGTTAAGGGTATCGGAAAACGATTTCTCTTGCTGCTTCCATTTGCTTTCTTTTCATCATCATGAACATTTACTCAGATGATTTCTGGTTTCCGGGTCTTTAACAGGTTTATGAACATAATCGAAGGGATACACATTTAACTAGATAAAAAATTATGTTGCTTCTGATTAGTGAGGTATAGTAACCCTTTACAGACAGTTCTTTAATCGATTTTGGTTTCACATATTTGCCGAGATTTCAGTCTTAGGTAGATGTTATAACTCCAGAACTTGGGGCAAGACACACTTTGTGTTCTGTTCTGTGGCATCACAAACTGTTACTGCGTTTTATTTCCCATCATTGGTGGACATAAGTGTTGCACCTGGTGGTCATGCATCTGAATCTGCAGGTATTTTTTTTGGAATTTCTGATGAATTTATTTTAATGTTTTTAAAGAAAAGGTTATCCTTATGTGTTATGAAAACGCAGACAATAAACAACTTAATGATAAAGAACGTGTTGCGGCTGCTTTGGAGAATCCAAACCTTGTGGAAATGGTTGACGAACGCTTACTTGCTTCACACGGTTGAAAGTTTTTTTTTCCCCTTCCTTTTCAATGCAAATGGTTACAAGAAAAAAAAGCATCCTCTGCACCAATCTGTAGGTGTAAATATGTCAGATGTATAATTGATGGGAGAGTTTTTGTTGTTCTGCCCAAATGTTGTTCTTCTCTCTTATAGTAAAATTTACAAGAAGCTGGTGGCGTGTACGAGAACCCGGAATTTTGAATACCCGATTCGACCGGCGAGTTGGATAGTCAAAATTCGGGCATTCGTCTACCTGGTGACGGCAGACGTCTGACTTTCTGGTTTTGAATGCGGGTTTTGGCGGTTGAGTATCTGTACCGAGAGGGATAGAGGCCGAGATGAGGTGAGGCTACGAGGGGGGTGAGGGCAAGGAAGGCTTTAGACTAGTATTGTGATTGAAGTTTATGAGTTTTAGGAATTCCATAACCGAAGATGATTTTCGGATTTCGGTTTGTATTTTTCCCGTTGCTCGTCTCGTTTTTCTCGTTCGTTCTTGCGGTATATCTCTCTTTCTTCGTCTTATCCTTTTGGTTATCGAAAAACTCGGGTATCCGGTCATCCTTGAACCGGAAGACTATTCATTGGTGCAAGATTCAGCTAGCCCTAGAAGAAAAAAAGGATCAAAGCGAAAGGCCCTAATTATGTTTCTCCGGTGTAATGATTCTTCCACTGAAGCTAAACTCATGGAGTCGTAATGTGTCAGCTTCCATGGCGGAAAAACTCGGAGCTTTAAGCACTAAGAACCCTAAATTTTTTTTGCAGAGAATTCGTATTTCAAAGCACATAATATAAACGTCAAGTTTGTCTCCACCCAATCGGGACGTGGGTTTCTCGTCAACATCTTTGGACGCACCAAACCAACCACTTGTTCATAACACACTCGTTAAAGAAGGAATCATTGTTGTTGTTATCCCGTTTTATTCACAATAATTGGATCCTTATCGTTTCACTAAGGGGATTAGGTTTCCGGAAATGGAAGCCGGGAGAGGCACTATCTCCCACTCGTTCTATGGAGTGACTGTCTTAATTTGGAAAGCTTATGCATGTCTCTTCCTCTTGTACTCTCTGTCCACTCTCTCTCTCTCTCTCTCTCTCTCTCTCGTTCATGTCCTTTTATCATCCATCACACTTCTTTCCCACTCATCCACTCGCAAATTCATGAGTTTTTGGCCATCCATAAACATGTTATCAATATGAGCTATACAATTTTCTTTTCATTTTTTAATTTTGAAAACAAAAATCAAAATTGGATGTATTATATGTTTTCTGTTTCATAGTGGAGGGATCTAAGTTGGTAAAACTTGAATCACATATTTTTTTATAATAAAGAGGTTCATATGATTTTCGACCCATTTGTCACGCAATTAATTGCATCATCTCCTTCTCATTAATAGAATCGAACCCAAAACCTCAAATAATTTTGTCATCTCTCAACCACTAGGTCACCAACTAGTGGATAATCACTTATTCTTTTATCATTAGTTTTAATATTTTTTAAACATTCATGTAAATTAATGGAAATTATTACTGCATATATATATATATGCCTGTGTTATTATTTTTGTATTTCATATTATTAATTCACCATAATAAAAAAAAAATTTAGACAAGACCCATATCACAGAATGTAATTGCTATCTCTATGTTCGATCATGTTAGGCTTCTGGTGATAGATTTGATGGATCTTTCACACTTCGAACTTCAATCTTTTGCAAAGTTTGTTTTCTTTATCAACCACTGTTGTGTAATAATTATTCATTTTCTTTCACCCCCGAATCTTTATATCTCATATAATCCAACAGTGGCACTTATATGCGCACATAGATACGTACGTATTCTATCCATACATATACATATACATATACGTATCGGAGTTGGGTGGCATGGCATTGGCTTTGGGAGGCATTAGCTTTGAATGCCGCATCAGACAGCGACATATCGTAGATGTAAAGAGATTTTTCAACAACGCCAACCCATATATATATATATATATTTTAAACATCATTCTTTAACGAACCATGTAATTAAATTTCATTAACTATGTTGTCCGACCTCATCTTTCCTTTGTTTATTTATTTTATTTTCGTCGTATTTTTTGTTTAGTCAATCACGCTTCTCCTAGAGCTACGCATCTATAAACTTAACCTAAAACTAGCTATTTATTAATTATATATATATACCAAATGCCTGTATATACACATGTTTTATAGGACTTACAGATATCAAACGTGGATTTCCTCATGAACAAAAGACTAAGTTTCCATCTCGGTATATATATATAATTGTATGTCATTCACGCTTAAAATTACCATGTCAGCAAACAGAGTAGGAGTCAATATTTTTGTTCGGATTTGTACATCAAACAAAACTAATCTTAACTAATCATGTTTGATCGAATCTGATTTAATAACTTATTTCATAATTTTTTTTACATCAAAACTAAGGTAAATTAGCAACAAAAAACACATAAAAAGCAAACAAAAATCAATAAATAAGAAAAATGTTCGTGAATTCAATCCGAATTACAATCCAATTATCAAACCAAAACCGACATAAAAATAGAATCCATATGATTTTTTAAAATTCGTGCGAAAATATGAAAACCAGATCAACCGAATTACGCGGAAGGATTGCCACGTCATTAGTACTCGGATAAATGTTTTTACATGATATTGAAATTTTTCGGTATTACAAAATACGACCATGTGTATAGTTAGGATAAAATAATAAAATAATCTTTTAAATGTCGTGTAGAATATAAATAACAAAGAAAAAAGTGACAAATCATATGTCAAATCTACTTTGTTTTTTTTCTTTATTCCCGGTCTTTAGGCTTTTTATTTTCATTTTCCCCCCTCAATTATCAACTCCAAAGATTGGTTAGAACAGTAAGTGAGATTAGCCAGATCATATGTAAGTTCATGTACATGCACATAGACATTTTGACTTTGTTGATATAAAGAAAACACGGCCATCCCAATACTACGATACATATAATGGAAAATATATATATATTTTCCATAGTTTAAAGTCATCGTTATGCCATTAAATTTTGGGATTTTTTGAATTATTTTACGTATTTGGATGTGTTGAATAAATCTAAAAGATGGGTATTTGAATATCAATTTTTTAAAAAAATGGATGGGGGAGAGTTTAAAAGTAGAATAATTAATACAAGAATTTGATTATTTTTAAACAATATGTGTGATGATAAGTTTGTAAAAGTTCCGGTCCATGTAATTATTTATAATTAGCAATTATTTTAGAGACATAATTATGTTGAATTATCTCTTCTGAAATTCCATTCCATATTCCCCATCGACATCCAATCACCACAGCCTATACGTCACCTAATTCTATTTTGGTATCATTATGAGAAGAAAACAAATAACAGAAATTATAAATATGGGAATCCACAACATAGATATGTTGGATCGTGCATTACAACCGTATTATTTTTATAGACATAATTATGTTGATAGACGATATTATTTTTAATCTTTTTTCTGTGTTATTGTTATTTTTAATAAATTCATCAATAAATAACCAAAAAGAGACTATGTATTTTCATTTGGAAACAAAAATATATAAGAAGCCTAAAAGTCTGAACCTCGTCCGAATCCACGTACGAGTCTATGACTCTATAAATTCCTCCAAGCCTATGGATACACTTTCACTTCGCATAACACAAAAGCCATCTCTCTCTCTCTCTCTCTCTCTCTCTCTCTCTCTCTTCTATATAAAGGTAACGAAACTACCAGAACCCACAAAACAACAGAGGCAAATACCATTAGGAATTTAGCCCAATCTATCAAAAAACAATGCCACGTTCCATGAAGAAGAGCTTTGAAGCAAACGAAACCGAAGAGGCAGAGCTCAGGAGAGGGCCATGGACGCTTGAGGAAGACACTCTTCTCACCAATTACATTTCTCTTAACGGCGAGGGCCGTTGGAATATGGTCGCAAAATGTGCTGGTACTATATAAATTCCTAATATGCTCAAAAGCTTCCATTTTTAAAATTTATTTGTTCTAATCTTTAGCAAGAATTGAAATATTAGTTTTTTTACGCATATGGGTGTGAAAAAGTCTTGATTTTTATTCATGGGTTCGTCTAGTTCATGAGATTCTCTCACTTTATAATAACACAGTAAAACTGTCTATTCTGTATGTTCTTTCATTCGGACAGGACTTAAGAGAACTGGGAAAAGCTGCAGATTGAGATGGTTGAATTATCTCAAACCCGACATCAAGAGAGGGAATCTTAATCCTCAAGAACAGCTTCTGATCCTCGAACTTCACTCTAAGTGGGGCAATAGGTTCGTATATGCATACATACATACATAAATTGGTATATATATACTGCTCGGTCATTCGTGTGTTTACTTTTCATCTTTTCCGTATAATCAATTCTGTATTTGGGTTTCTCAGATGGTCTAAGATTGCGCAGCATTTGCCGGGAAGAACAGACAACGAGATCAAGAACTACTGGAGAACAAGAGTTCAGAAGCAGGCCCGTCAACTGAACATCGAATCCAACAGCGAAAAATTCTTTGACGCCGTCCGTAGTTTCTGGATGCCAAGATTGGTCGAGAAGATGGAGCAGAACTCATCCTCTAACTCTGCTGCTTCTTGTTCATCGCAGCTGAACAGCAACAACGCAAACACCATTAATGGCCCTGAGTTCCTTTCCTCCGAATCGCTGATGAATTCAGTGAGACCAGACAGCGATGGCTTCCCCAACGATTCGGGTTTCAGCGACATCAACTGTTCAAGCTCCATGGCTGATCTCGTGGCAATTACACGACTGATGGATATGTCCGATCAGAACACTGCAGGATCAGTGCAGTTTCAGCTTCATGGAGGAAGCCAATGTGTGAGTGAAGAAGAGGAGTACGGACACTTCCATGGGTTTGATGATTACATGGCTTCGATGGGCAATTTAGACATTTCATCAGCGGGATACCACGTGGCGAATGCTGATTCGATGTACGAGGATGTAACACAAGATCCGATGTGGAACATGGATGACATTTGGCACTTTAGGGAGTAGGCAAAGATGGGACAATCCTTAATTGTCTATATAATGGCATCCGTTTTATTTGGGGCCCACCACTCGGTTTTTTTTATAATTATAAATTATAAACGTTGGGTTTTCGTTTATATTTTAATTTACACGATCCAAATTTGTTGGATCTTTATACGATATCTTGTATTATGGATGAACGAAACATTATAGCTGAAAACAGGATTTCTTTCAATGGTGTTGTTTTCATGCAAAAGGTCCCTTTTTCATATTTTTCATCAATAATTCCCCTGTTCTTTTCTATTATTGTGGATATAACGTATCAATTTAATTTTTGTATATATATATTGAATATCGGATTAATGTCAGAAGAAAAATATTTTTCTCACTTTTTATAAATTTTTTGAATGAAACGTAAAATGTATTAATTTTTTTAGAATTTCGTACATAAATCATATTTATATCTTACTATCCACTTTTTCCGGAATCGTTATATTCTTGGATAATGTTATGAATTTCGAAGTAGATTATTGACATAACATCAATTAATTGAAGATTTGATATTATAAAATCCAACTAAAAAAAAAGTTTTTCTTTTATTCCTTGGCCTTATGATTTGTCCACCACCAATAATAACGCACACTATCTTTCTTTTAAAAAAAAAAAAAAAGACAAAGCCACCATATTTATTATCCATAAGAGTTCCCACCAAAATTGATGTACGACTCTTTCACAATAAGAGCATATTAGCTTAGAATTATTGGTGGTTGTCTCCTCCACATTATTAATTCGAATTAAAAGTTACATAAACTTTCCATATACATAAGGACAAATTTAGAGAAATTTCTTATTGGAAGCACATTTAATACGATATAAAAAAATAAAAAACATTAATTTGCTTCTTTTTTTTTTATTGGAAGACGTATATATTACTTAGTTTTATTACTGTATATCAAATAATTTAAATAACTAAGACCACTTTTTGTCGATATATATATATATATATATATATATTCATGAACTTGAGTAGGAAATCTTTTCCACGTGCAACATCGAGAGGGAAACGTTTTCCTTTGAGCAGATTTCAAAACGAAATCGACCCGAAAACGGATTCGTAGATTCGTAACAGTGATTTTATAGGATTTTGGTCAAAATTGAGAAACCCTGCTTCAGTCAAATTTATTGACGATGACGACGACGGCATAATCATTAAACCCTAAGGACACGTACGTACTCTTGAAACCCTAACCGGTTCGGTTCACGAAACAGGGCAAAGCTAAGATCTATAATTCCGACACCGATTACATTACGTCAACGAGCAATTCAAATGAATATATGGGATTCCGATATTCTTCTAGGGGTAATATACGAAGATTTCACCTTTAACAAAAAAAATAATATACGAAGATTTCAATATACATTAAATAAAATACCATTTGGTTAAAGAGAGTCGTCCAAAGGTATTTTTCAAACTTGGAAGTTTGTAAAAATCTAAGATTTAGATAACCATAACACGAAAAAAAAAGAGTCTCCCGACAAAATTTTGGCCGTGATAATAAAGATAATTTGATAATGATAGAAAATACTATAAAGATTATATATATAAAACACCCTAAAAAATATCTAAACTTTTCATTTTTTTTAAAAAAAAACCTAAACTCTATTTTAAAAAATAGAGAAAATCCTAAAATAATACCTGAACTTTTCAATTTTGACAAAATAAAACCTAAACTTTGTTTTTGATCAAATAAAACCTGAACTTCATTTTTTAGTCAAAAATAAACCTGAACTTTATAATCTTTATCATTTTTAACCATGTTACTGACGTGACATTCCGATATCGTGACACGTGGACGATGATGTGTCAAATACGGTCAAAATGTTGACTTGCCACGTAGGATGTCGGAATGTCACGTCAGCAATAGAGTTAAAAATGACAAAGATTATAAAGTTCAGGTTTATTTTTGACTGAAACATGAAGTTCAGGTTTTATTTGATAAAAAACAAAGTTCATGTTTTATTTTTTCAAAATTGAGAAGTTCGGGTATTATTTTGGGATATTCCCTAAAAAATAAAACCTGATCTCATTTTTTGTATTGAAAAAATCTACATTTTATAAAATTTTTCGTTTTTATACCCAAATGTTCACGTCACGATTTGTTTAATGATGAGCAATGATGACCTGGATGTTGCGTGTATAATTCGGTCAAATCATAAATTGACACGTATGATATCGGATACCACGTTATCGATTGATTAAAAAAAAGAGATAATATTTATAAAGTTTGGATTTTATTTGGTAAGAAATAGAGTTTTTTCTTGAAAAATTGAAAATTTTGAGTTTTTTTTTTTATTTTATTTTCCCGAATATATATATACACTTAGCATGGGAATCGATCAAGCTTAAGGACAAAAGCCTAGTGAACAAAGAAGCAACCATAACTGAAGTAGCTCAGCATCTACACTCTCTTTAAGTTCACAAGTATTTGTCCTCATCACATTGGGAATCTTATTCTTATTATTTCAATTTCTTCCTTTTTCATATATATATATATATATATATCCCATCTTTCTAACGAATATTCATTCATTCATGCATGCATAGGCGATCATTGCTTTCTACGTAATATTTTTTCAGATTCACAAAAACCAAACGCTACCCTTTTGGATGATGTGAGGGTTGAAGCATTTGGGATTTGAAAGCTACGAAACAAACGAACGAGCACTTCGATCCCATCAAATCACAAAAGTCTCTTTCAAGTTCTTCAGTCGATCAAAATCACATGCGTGAAGAGACTGATCTCTCTCTCTCTCTCTCTCTCTCTCTCTCAATCATCCAGACTGCAGATTCCCTGTTCATATCTCATAGAGCTTTCGGCCTCTTTACGCGCCATTAACATCGACATCATTATAGCAGACATCTTTCTTACTTAGACGAAGGAACATGAATGAATGAATGAATGAATCGAGGTGGCACCCAAATTTGACCAAAGGACTTTGAATTAAAAAAAACGATGAACAAGAAAAAAATATGGCTCAAAAACAAAAGCCATGTCTCACTGTTCCATAACGTGGCGTGTGATGACCATGAGGGCTTCTATTTACCAGTCACGTGTTTTTGTGTGGTTTGCTGGATTGGTTTTTGCCATGGCTGTCTCTGAGAGTGACTGTCCGGTCGAAGACAAAAGCTTTTCTTCAGCTGAATCCTTGTCAACCGCCAAATAACCTGACATTTTTCAAACTTCAGATTATATATATACAGATAATCCAACTCTGATTCAAGATACATGCCGTGACTAATCGTTCGCCTTTGGTCTAGAGTTAGCTTGATCTAGAGTTAGTCACGGGTCGGGTATCCGAGATTTTCGAATTACCTGAATTCAAACCCGAACATTTAGGATCTCACAAGACATCCAGTTTCTAGGATCAGTTTTGGTCGGTTACCCAACCCGAGTTTATTTTTTTCGAAAGATGGAATTGACTCGAGCGGAATCCAAAATTTATGGATTACCCGATCTCAGATCCAATAATCCGGTTTCGGGTTTTCACCACGTTGTAAGCTGATCTCATCTCATCTAATCTCATATTTGGATACTCAAATTTTGGGTACCCGACTCGCGGGTCGGTTTGGGCATCCGAAATTTGAGTTTTTTTTTCCAGCTTTGATGATTGGGTAAAAAGATACGGACTTTCATGAAAACGATGGGAGTAAAGAACGAATACCAAGCCTCTCGAACTGGAATCTGTCCCCAACTGCAGCATCTTTCAGATTTGGCACAGCATATGCGCGAGGAGGTATCACCACTTTGGAGTTCGGATTGAGAACAGAGATCCATTCTCAGAGTTCGGCGGCCGGGTTCTGTTTACGAATCGAAGTAACGATATAAGGTTAAAAAAGATCGTTGCTTTCTCTCAGACGGACGAGTGATATTACGAAACATGAGAGAAAAGATTCTTGTACGGCACCTCGGAGTTAAAGTGCTTACTGAAAAGCCAGGCTTCCGCCTTAACCGGCTCTTTTCCGAGGGAGGGTTCGGCTACCCAATGAAGAACTCCCTGCAAATAAGATCCAAATTTGTTGATAGAGAAAGGGAATGCAGATTTATTATAAGATATCATAAAGAACATGAAAGAGGGCGATGGAGAACAGAGAGGTCAGAACCTTTGGTTTTCGACCTTTTTTCCGGGATCATATTCTGCATGGACCTCGACAATGGTCCCATTATCCTCGGGGTCAGGACAATGTTCGTGCATTTGATCGGGAAAGCTAAGCAACACTGATTTACCAGGGGGCAAGCCCATAGTAATCTTTTGAATCCTTCAACCGATGAAATCGATTCGTTCAATGCATACAACTCTAGAAAATGGAACCTATATCAAGAACAACAACAACAAGATAAGATCGCCAAAACAAAAGAAAAATCAAAATGTTTTCTTTGTATATTGCAATAGGTTTCACCTTGTAGAAGGAAGAAGGATCATCATCCCGAGCACCGGGCCACCTTTTCGCATCGAGTTCTATTACATTGCCAGCTTCCATATTGGTTATGACCACCTTTTGTTCAACTCTTCTCAGATATGATGCTCAAGACGGCTCACATGTATCAAGCTACCGTCACTGCGAATATAAAAATGTATAATCGATAAAACTGTTGAAACAGGCGAGAAAAAAAGATACGATGAATCAATGCATAAACATGAATTGGACCTTTGGGTAATTCCAATCCCTCGCACGAAAGCGTTAATCGAAGTTGAGGTCATGAGACGAGGGTCATCCCACCCATCAACATGTTTGTTTGACACAATGTAATTCAACTGCTGCAAAAAGAGAAAATTATACAAGCATAATAAGATTCTCGGGATAATGTTAAAACCCTTTTCGATATAAAGATTGAAACTTTACCAACCTTACGCTTTGACATTACAGTGTTGGTGATGTTCAACCGTGAATATTCCCATATATAAGGCATGTAGAGTCCCAGAGCATGCAAATAACCAGTAGTATCAAGTATGAAGCACGTCATGTTTCAATCTCGAGAGTACATAGCTTCAATCATGCACATATATATATATGAATGGATCAGCAAACCATATGGTAAAAAGTCTGGGATTAACAAGAATGGGTTATTATCAATGCACGCATTTGAAAGTCCTATAGCTATATAAAAGCTTAAATAATTCAAGACTGAAATGGAAATCATACCGAATGTGTTACGTTATCTCGAGGCAATGAACAACGCAATGGGCATAATCATAATAGCCCGGACAGATACACCATTTATCACCAGCACGAGAAAGCCTTTTCCGGACAACTAAGGACATGTTCCAAATAATTCACCCACTACAAGAGATAAAATCATCAAATGCAAGCATAGAGCAGAATAAGATTTATACATGAGCAAACATCAAGATAGAAAGCAATGAAATACATATATGTCCAAACTCGATAAAACAAAGAAGTTTGAAGAATGGTGAACATAGAACAAACGACTAACCATAAGTTCGGTAACGCAACTCCGTTATTGTATTCCTCTTCTCTTCAAACATTTCGCTTGCTGTTTTCTCAAATATCTTCAAGAGAAACTTCAACCCCTGTCTTAAAAGCATGATGAAAATATCGCGTCTGAATCAACGCATCTTTGCCAATACAAGAAAGAAAAAACTGACACCAGCTTACAGTAACAAAAAAAAGACAGCGTTATCAAGAAATCAGAGATTATACGAGCTCAAAATCACATACGAAAAAACCATATCAATGTCACATGCTTCCTCAAATTCATTCAGCTTGAAATCCTTAGGACCAGTATTCGCCGAAAAACAAAATGCGGCTTCCAACTAGGCTGGCGTCTTAATCTGCACAAGTATTACACAGAAAGAAACACTAGCAAACTTAGAAAGTTTATGATATTAATTCAAAAGAAACAGACAAAACAGACAAGGAACGGTTCCAACAAAAGATATTCCAATTGTGAATATACTCAATCCAGGAAGTGGATAACAACCCTTAGAGGAGACAAAGTACTCGAGCAATTCCGGGCGATGAAGAAGAGCATTTGCAGGGTACTTTTTAAGGTAAATTGTTGTGAAAAATAAAACCATAAGGAATTCAGGCAATTCGACTCTCGAAAGCTTCCTGTTTTCACTGTCTTGGCTCTTCAATTGAGTAAAATCAGATGGGCACTAAGATATTATCTCACTGTGTGTAATAGATTTCCAGTAGTTCGATAACATCAGCCTGAATTGAAAACAAGTCAAATGTCATGAAACCAGAATCGTTATAATCCAAGTGACGCAACGAGAGATCGAATTCAAGTTACAACAAGGAAACATGCGAAAGGAAGTAAACCCTAATCTACATCAGCGGATTCGATGTTATAAAAAAAAGCTACAAACTTTCGCAAACAAAAACCGAACTTTTGCATGTTTCCATTGAATAAACCTCCATTACCGAATGAACCCAGAAAAAGTTAAGCCTGAATCGATCAGATAAAGGGGGGAAAACAAAAGGAAGAGAGAGTGAAATGGTGATCTCGTGGATAACGGCGGTGAGATTGGAGGTGACCTTGTCATTGGCGATAGATTTAAGAGC